AATTGCATCTCCTGATGTGTGTGTTTTAATGAGAGTTTGGGTTACTGCAGGTCCATAAGCGCAGTAATGAAATTTGCTTACAGTTCTATGAGAAGGAGCTTCTGACAGATACATCCTATCTCCACATATACGGGTTCGTATGCTGCTGCCTCAGTTCCTTAACTGGCTTCTATAGTAAACAATTAGTCTTTTGTATCTTTAAAATCTGTACTTTACAATTTTAGTTTTATGTGCATATCAAGTTACTGAACTATATTATTACAGGTTGCAGGAACATGAACTGGATGCAAAACAGCTGGCTGTTGTTGCTGTAAGAACATACTTTATGTACTCTCATGATCATTCTGCATTCAATATTTTGACCTTTGTAAAGTCATATTGGACATCTTATTGTACTCAGTTTCTTATATTGAAATGTTGCATATATAATGAGCATCTCATATACATATTCTCCCCACAATTTAGGCTCTACATGAGTGGAGAGATCGTATAGCTCGTCAGGAAGATGAAAGTACTGGTTATATACTGCCAAATAAGGCTTTAATTGAGATAGGTATTGCTGTTTTCTTTATATTCTGTTATTATGGTGCAAAATTGGATATGCCACTTCGCTGACTCCCCCATCCCCTTTTTTTAATTCAAAAGCAAAGCAGATGCCTACAGATGTTGGACATTTGAAAAGAATTGTGAAATCTAAATATCCATATGTTGAGAGCAATCTTGAGCTAATTGCTTACACTGTCTGGAATGCACTTAAGTATTCTTATGCCTTTGAAGGAATAGCTGAGCAACTAAAAAAGGAACGGCTGGAACAGGTTTGTTAGGTTGAACTTATGTTGATTTCACTCTTTGAATACTTTAGGAATGTGCTGAGTCTAGCACTGGACCTTAAGCTTTCTTTTGAGGCTAGTATCTTATCTTTTGCAGTTGGCTTTGAAAAGTGGTCAGGCCAGTGATGAAGTGACTCCTTTGGATGCTGACATTGATAGGAGTAATTTTGATTCATCTGATCAGTCTGCAAATGTCAGTGTTGCTTCTGGCGGTGGGGCTGGTTTTATGAGTGAAGCAGCTTTGATCAGCAGCATCCACCTAGAGGATAAAACTCAAACCATATCCTCAGTTAAGACCTCTGAGACCTTGTCAGGCCTGATCAGACCAGTGAATAAGGATGTCCTGAGCAATAATATACATCAGCAGGTAAAAAAATATATATGCAACATCTATATCTTTTTTATTTATTCTGTATTTATATCGCTGCATTTTGTATGAGGCTCAGGCTAGTCAGGACCTGAGACACACTTTAGGAGCTCTAAAAGGAAACTTGGCATCTGGAGGACAGTCAAATGAGCAGGTACAGGCAAACTATTCCTGAACAATGAAAACATCAAAGCAGTCATTCTGAATACATGTGATTTTCTATGTATCAATCTGCCTTTTTCCTGTTGAAATGTTGTTGAAGAGTTGTTGATAGTACGCATTGGGTCGCACTTGTCTTTTGGTTTGTCTACAGTTAATCTTATGCAACTTGGTATTGTTCTGAATGCCTGTCTTTACTACATGTTTTGAGAGGAAGTTTTTACTATGGGTTAGCTTGGATATTCATTCAACATGTGTTTACTAGAGGGTTTTCAATTTTGTTTATACCCTTCTAATTCTTGATATGTTTTGCTTCATCTCCGTTTATTTATTTTCATGATGAAGTTTTGCATTTATGCCGAGACTTTTGTCTACTGCTGTTCAATTCCAGGCTGGGAGCAATGTGGAGAATTTTAGATCTTCTGTATTTCCTTCCCAGCAGTTGTCTGGTGGGGTAAAACCATTTTATCCAAATGCTGGAATGCACAGTGACAATGTTTGGATTCAAACAACTCAGATGAATGAGACAATGCAGCTGGGCAACACACCTTACTACACACAGCTTCCAGGATATAGCACTGAAGTTGTAGGGAGCCGTTATGAACGTGAAGGCTTGCAGATGTCCGGGTACCTGTCTGGTTTTGAGCCTGGCATTGAGTCAACAAACCAAAGAAGTACAGTAACAGGACAGCCTCCTGGTAGACACAAGGAAGGAAGTTTCCAGAGTTCGGTGAGACGACAATCTTTCCCACCTTCAAGTTACAAGAAATGAGAGTACATACCAGTAGCAGTAGCTGCCCTGATGTACAGCAGAAGGGAAGGAAAAGATGAGCCCCTGGCACTGATGTTTTTTTTGTGCAGACATTGACTGTGTAGAGAACTGGGGGGTGTTTTACTTGCCCTCTGAATGCCTCTTTGGATTTTTGGCATTCGGTTAACTGAAAGGTGAGAAACCCAATATTGACTGTAGATGCAGGGTATCGGAAGTGCCATCTCATTGCCCGTTGGCTCATGTAATGGAAGGACGGGACTAACAAACAAGTTCTGGTTCAATGGTGAATACTGGAATCGCACAAAAAAAATATACTGTGATACTGATATTGGTACAGTGTAACACCATCAATTCAAAGACTTAGAAACAAACAGCTAGCTTTGTTCTGTCCTTTCTCCCTTATTATGCTATGTCTTTCATTTTTTTTTCTGTGTATTTCTACGTGCGCTTCGTTATCGAACTTTTGATTTCTATCAACGTGTAATCGTATAGCTGCTTAGGGCGTGTGGATATGGCCCGTTCGCTGGTCTGAACTTTGGCTGAAACTGGCTGAAAAATACTGTTCAGGTTGAATTGTTGTGAGAGAAAAATATTATTTCAGCTGAAAAAAATGTTTTAACAAGCTAAATTTAAGACAAGCGAACGGGCCATATTGGTTAGGAAAGTACTCATTCCCTCAGTTCCAAATTAATAGGCATATACTAGTTCTTAAAATCCTGTCTGAGATTAGAGGAGGCACAACTAATCTCAGTTTTTTTTCTTCATTTTGGTCAAAAGTAGCCCTACAACTTAGTAATAGGGTCTGATTGGTTGGTTACACTGAAACTTAGTAATGCATTAAGGGTGTGATTGGTTGTTTGCGCTCATGCAATCCTATATTAGGTTTTATATATGAAGCGTAGCCTAAGGCTCCGTTCGCGTGCCCTTAAACCCGGCTTGATCTGTTTCTTTTTTAATCCGAAACAGTGTTTTTCTCTTATAGATTTATCCAGATTCCTCCAAGCGAACGGGGTCTAAGCTTTCAAAAATTGACCGGCTTTGGTTTGCTTGTACTACACATTTGCACTTGAAAGATTGTATTTGTTTAGGAGGTGTTTGATTCGAGCTACTAAACTTTAGTAGCTACTAAATAGTTTAGTCACTTTTAGAGAGTTACTAGAGACGACTAAAGCCCTTTTAGTCACATTTAGTTATAGTGTTTGACAAAAAAGTTACTAAAATAACTAAAAGCTACTAAATTTAGTAACTACTAGGCGAACCAAACAGTCCCTTAGTTACTGCATTATTTAGGGGTTTAGTTGCTAGAGTAATGTTTTTTCTATCATAATACAAAAAACAAGATTTTAAGTCGGTTTACCAAACTATTAGAGGTGCTGTAGCAAAAGCCCCAATAGCAGACCTCTCATTTCTCGTTCACATTTAGCTTGTTCGGGAGGCCATATCGTGTCGTGGATTATTTACTGCTGGCTGGTTTGATGTGAGAGAAAAATACTGTTCCCGGCTGGAAATTTATGATCGTTTACGAGTAAGCGAACAGGCTGATTAGCGGCTTCTTATTTGGTTTACCCTTTTATTTTGTTTGTCTTGCCGCCTTCCGGGCTGCCGGCAGGCCTGAGTAAGCAAAACCGGGTATAGTGTAGCACCTGAATACAAGCTCTTAGAAACAAAATAGTTTTCTTCTGTCTTCATTTTTTAACTTTTGCCATGTCTTGCATCTTTTCGCTGTCAGTACTTTCCTATTGATTTATTTTACGCACTTGTATTGGGCTGTGGCCTGCCCAGTGAGGAAACCTTTTGTCCGAAGCACTCGAGTCTGAGTGTGCTTGAATTGCGTACTGCTACATGTCACCTGAATGAACGCAGAAGCAGTGGAACAGATGAGTTACTGCTGGCTGGTCTCAGTGTTCGTTTCGGCTGAAACGATCATAGATTATTACGGCTGGCTGGTTTGATGTGTGACTTATAATTCATGATGGATTACGACCAAGCGAACAGCTAGGAGCTCGAGAAAATCCAGATACGGGTCAAATGAAACCATTTGGCGCATCACTCTCGCCGTGCTGCTTGTTTGGTAACCCGTAGCCGAATCGACTTCCGGTAGTCTAGTACGAGCAGTGTACTACTGCGTTTTCTTATCCAGGCATGGCAACGCCTGTTCCAACAAGGCGTTTCCAAGATGAATTCCGCATGAGGGAAGAAGCCCACAAGAAACAACAAGAACCCTGTCGCGACAAAAACGAGCGAAAAAAAAAGAGCTCGTCCACGCTGCAGAACGAGATCACACCTCTGTGCAAACAACCCTCTGAATCTCTGATGAAGTTTTAACCAGCCCTGTTCGTTTTGCTGAAATTTGACGTATGCTGATGCTGATTTGTTGCGAGTGGAAGACAATATTCGTTCGCTGAAAAGTACTGCTGAAGTAGTACTGAAGAACATGTCACATATATGAAATATTGAAATGGAATGGAATAGAGCTATAACGAGATCCTACACAAACCAAGTTACTTGGCTGAAATATAACCTTTCAAATCAAAAAGAAAAAAACTTGGCCGAAATCTGCTCCAGATTTGGAACCTGGAATTCTGAAGTCACGGCACTCCAGTTGGTTGCAACTTGCTGGAAGAGGCAGGCGGCAGGCCCACACGCCCGCCGCAGAGCATTTCATTTTCGCTGCCGAGCGGGCCCACCAACCAACCCATCATCAGTAGGCAGCACCAACCCCCGATTCTGACAAGTGACACCTCCCCGTCCCCTTCCCCTTCCAACCAACTCCCTCCTATAGATCCCGACCCCTTTCCCATTTCCGCACCAAGCAGCCGGCCCAAGCCCAAAACCCTTTCCCCTCCTCCCCTCCTCCTCTCCCCTCCCCACGATGGCCGCCGCCGCCGCCACGACGCCGCACTCCCTCCTCCTCCAGCGCGCGGCGACCCCGGCCGCGCCGCCGAGGGCGGCCATCGCCGCTTCCTCCCTCCGCCTCTCGGCCCGCGCCGCCAGGATCTCGTGCGCGGCGGTGGCGGCGCCGTCCCCCGCCGCCGCGGCGGCGGCGGACGAGGCGGAGCGCGGCGTCTACAACTTCGCGGCGGGGCCCGCGACGCTGCCGCTCTCCGTCCTCAAGCGGGCGCAGGCGGAGCTGGTGGACTACCACGGCTCCGGGATGAGCATCATGGAGATGAGCCACCGCGGGAAGGAGTTCGACGCCGCCATCAAGAAGGCCGAGGCCGACCTGCGCGCGCTCCTCGCGGTGCCCGACACCCACGCCGTGCTCTTCCTCCAGGGCGGCGCCACCACGCAGTTCGCCGCCGTCCCGCTCAACCTCTGCGCGGGCCCCACCGACCCCGCTGACTTCGTCGTGTCCGGCTCCTGGAGCGACAAGGCCTTCAAGGAGGCCAAGAAGTTCTCTGCCGCCTCCGTCGCCTGGTCGGGTAAAGACGGCAAGTACACGGCCCTCCCGCCCTTCGACGCCATCAAGCAGAACCCCGAGGCCAGGTTCCTCCACATCTGCTCCAACGAGACCATCCACGGCGTCGAGTTCAAGGACTACCCGGAGCCCCGCAACAAGTCGGGCATCCTCGTCGCCGACATGTCCTCCAACTTCTGCTCCAAGCCCGTCGACGTCTCCCGCTTCGGCGTCATCTACGCCGGCGCGCAGAAGAACGTCGGGCCCTCGGGCGTCACCATCGCCATCGTGCGCAAGGACCTCATCGGCGCAGCGCAGCCCATCACGCCCGTCATGCTCGACTTCAAGACGCACGCCGACAACGCCTCCCTCTACAACACCCCGCCCTGCTTCGCCATCTACATCTGCGGCCTCGTCTTCGAGGACCTGCTCGCGCAGGGCGGCCTCGCCGAGGTCGAGAAGAAGAACGCGCACAAGGCCGGCATCCTCTACGACACCATCGACGCCAGCGGCGGCTACTACATCTGCCCCGTCGACAAGTCGGTGCGGTCGCACATGAACGTGCCCTTCACCCTGGCGAAGGGGCCGGACTTCGAGAAGCAGTTCATCGCCGAGGCGGCCAAGGAGGGCATGGTGCAGCTCAAGGGGCACAGGTCGGTCGGTGGCGTCCGCGCCTCCATCTACAATGCCATGCCGCTCGCCGGCGTGGAGAAGCTTGTCGCCTTCATGAAGGACTTCCAAGCTAGGAACCCTTGATTGGCTTGTGCTTATGATCATTTGGTATTGCTGCTCTTTAGCAGTATGTTTTGTTCTTTCTTCATAGCACAAGTGAGCTCTGTGCAAGAGCAACTTTGCTTTGCGCATCTGGGATCTATCTGTAGTATTAGTAACAGCTACTGTATTTTGCGATGTTCTTTTTCACTTTTTATTAGGTGTTCATGGGATTTCATTTCTATGGATCACCATTGTAGTTGGAATGTGTTTTGCTGGAAATAAGGAATAAGGTGGATGGTCAATTGCCTCGCCTCGATCGAGAGCAGGTGACGCTGCTATATCATTCAGACTTGTCAGTGCTTATAAAACACTAATTTGAAGGTTGTTTGGTTTTTGCCTCTCCAAACAAAGCAAATTTTGTTGGTTTCTTCTTTTCTTATCATTTTTAGAGACAGAATTCTGCTGAAATTTGATGTCATCTGTACTTTAGTAAGATTCTGATGGAAATTCTTTACACCCGTTGTACGTATCCAGCGTTGTTTTCAGATAGGTTGTCCATGTTGATGACTAAGCATAGAATACACTGCCTTGCATCTGATCTGATGGTACTAGTATATCCGTGAAAGATCCATTTAAGGTTGGTAACGGGTGAGCACTCCAGAGTCCAGAGTTTGGTGAAGTACTTTTTGCTGGTTCTTGGTGTCGTTATCTGACTGATCCATTTAAGCTGATACCAAAAACAGATGTGCAGTGTGACATTGTTTCAAATTGCACGTTGGGTAAACATTGTGTCATAGCACAGGTAAAAGGTCAACTGTTGGTATTTCCAAATGACAAGATAATGTTTTGACTCAAATCAGTCTAAACTCGAATAGCAGCATGCCTTCTTTTCCTCAAGATTGCAAAATCTGTTTCGGTACTAGTTCTCCAATTGACTAGTTACTACGTACAATCAAGTTGAGCTGCTAGTTACGCCATAATATTATTCTCTTTTAACTAACCATCAGGATACGAGCCTGTTCGCTGGTTGGTTTCTGGGCTGATAACGCTGGCTGGTGCTGGTTTATTGTGAGACGAAAATACTGTTGGATGGCTGATAAGCCATGGCTGAAACCAACAAACGAACAAACTGTATATTTATCGAGACGTGCAGAATCTGTACATGTTAATTTTTCTGATTCTATGGGTGGAATGGTCTATTATTATATTATGGACACAACCACTTGGATGTCGTTATGTCATCCATGATTCTTGTCATTGGATTCTTCGTTTGGAATTGCTAATCTATTCTGACGAGTGGGGGACAGCTCTCTCTCATGCTAAAGTGTGTTTGCACTTTGAGCCTGCAATTCCGATGGAAGTGAATGGAAATTTTGTATGGAAGGTGTGAATGGGTACCATTGCAAATTGCTGAAACTGCCGGTATTCTCCTTGGAAATGCATTCCGCCTCTGCAGTTCAACTTTCATGTTTGTAGCATTTTGGATTCCTGGTTAAAAAAGTGGAAACCCACACGGCCCTGTATCTGATGCTATTACTAGTATTTATTTGTCAAAAATTCATTTAGGGTCTGGACTGATTCACTAGACTGGTACCAAAAACATATTATGAGCATATATGCAGTGTGATCCAGTTTCAGATTGCACGTTCGGTAATCCAAATAACAGGATTATGTTTTGACTTAATAATCCGTAAAAATCAGGATAGCAGCATGTTCTTGGTTTTTTTTTTTGGCCCCTAAAGATTGCAAAATCTGCTGTAGTGCACTGTTTAGTTTTCTTTTTTTAGCAATGCAACTGTTAGTTCAGTACTCATCATGTTTTTGTTCCTGCGGCCCGGCCCACGTCACCGGTCAGTTAACTTCCTTCCCCTTCCAAGGCCCAGCCCACGCTCTACCCTAAAACGGCCGCCGCCGAAGTGGGCGTGGCCCAACGAGAACGCGGATTAACCGCTGCCCGCTGAGTAAATCGCAAGCAGAGCACACGGAGGCAGTCCGCTTGAAAGGTAAGCTCCGCCTCTTAAACTCTCGTCGCTGTCTTATCGGACATGGAGAGAGTATTAAATATAGACTATTTACAAAATTAAATGTACAGATTGAGATTATTTTGCGAGGTGAATTTTTTAAACTTAATTAGTCTATGATTTGACAATGTGGTGCTACAGTAACATATGCTAATGGCGGATTAATTAGGCTTAATAAATTCGTCTCGTAGATTACTGATGAATTCTATAATTTGTTTTTTTATTAGTATCCAAACATACTATGTGATACCCATATGACACCTCCCAACTTTAGTCCATAATTCAAACACCCTCTAAACCCTTGTGCAAGTCAACGGGAGAAAGGACAAAAAATAGTCAATTCCCTCGTTGCCACTAAAAAATTATAGGAGTTCTCTGAATGCCATTCAAATTTTCAACTTCCCTTCAATGCCATTGTATGAAATTTGTGTTTCCCTTACTCCATTTCTGTTAAATTCTGTTAAGTTATACCCAATGACAACAGGGCCCCACAACTTCTCTGTTATGCGATCGCTTCATCGGAAAAAATAGAAACATTGGGCGGCCGGGCAAAGCTTGCGGCTGCTTAGGCAAGGCTTGCGGCGCCGGGCACGCGGCTGCCCCGGTGAGCTCGCGGCTTGCTGGGGATCTTACAACCGCCCGGGCGCGCGTGGCGGCTGAGGCCGGGGCGCCGGGCTCGTAGCCGCCGGTGAGGCAAGAAGTGCAGGTGCGCGGGGTCGTCCGAGCTCGCCGGCCTCCACGACGATATTGCTAGAGCGTGTGAAGGGGGAGGACGAGGGGAGGCGTCTTCGGCGGCATGCGCAAGCAGCTGGGCAAGATCAGGGAGCCACCGGGGCGCTCGCGACCGCTAGGGGCCAGGCTGCTCACGGCCGCCAGGGCAAGGCACTCGGCTGGCCGGTGCTGCAAGAAGCGCACATGTGCTGATGTTCACAGAAGCGCACCTGCTTCTTTCATACGGATCCGCAGGAGTTGGAGGCAAAGTCGATGGCAACGATAGTTGAGAAGAGATGGTCGCTGACCGAGCCCGTGCTCGCAGAGTCGTCGTGAGTGGGCATGCCTTCTTCCTGATTCTGCTTAGCTATTTCCCTTTCTTTCCCATGTAAAAGCGTACAAGTTTTTGCAGAGAATACGCAATAATTTCATTAACCGGATAGTCCAGTATTCATAGAGTACAGCAAGGAAGAAACTAACTAAAGATTGCATCCGGTGGCTTCTTTCCTTGAGAGCTAATCCATTTGCCATTCTGGTGCCATTGACGAACGAGTGCACCTGTCGGCAGACCGCAGACGCGAGTCGGCGATGCCAGGATGTGCGCGCGGCTGCACCGCACCTAGCAAGCGTGTGCGGACGACGCAGGGGAGACGCGCGCCGCCTGGGCCTCTGCCTGTTCAGTCGTCCTGCGCGCGTTCTCGACCTATTCGCCCTCCTGTGCGGGTGTGCGTCAGCCGCCCTGCCCCTCCCGCATGCATGCGCGTCTGATAACTAGGCCGCTGGTGAACGAGGACCATGAGGCCATGACGGTGTCGACGAATCTCGCAGCGCGGTCAGTGTCGACGTGGTTGAGGCGTAGCCGCGGAGCTGAGGGCTGAGGCAGAACAACAGCTAACAAGGCCCGGAGCCAGCGCTGCACGACGCGCGTGAGAAAGGCGAGCGATGAAGCAGCACATTTGCCTCGGCGAGTGCCAACTTAACGGAAAAGTTAACAGATTTTAACGGCAATGGCAATCGAGGAATTGCAAACTTAGAATAGTGGCAGTCAAGGAACTTAACAATTTCAATGGCATTAAGGGAATGCTTATAAATTTCACTGGCAATGAAGGAATTGACTCAAAAATAAAACGCGGGCCTCGTTTAGCTCCGCTGAATTGGCGCCGGCAGGAACACTGTAGCGGCAGGAACACTGTAGTCAAAAATAAAGCGCGGTCAGTGTCGTTTTGTTTTTTTTAATAATAATTATCTAATTGTTGACTAATTAGACTTAAAATGTTTATCATGTAGAATACAACCATACTGTATAATTAGTTTTTTATTTTATCAATATTTAATATTTCATGTACCGCAAACAAATTTGTTGCGACGGAAAATCTGGTTTTAAATGTCGAATTCTAGAATCGGAGGGAACTAAACGCGGCCGCGAACTGACTAGCCCCTCTGCTTCTTCTCTGTTTCTCCTCCTCCCCTGATTGCTCTCGATCTGCCAGGGCGCGGCGCGATGGCCGACAAGGCGGCGTCCCCGGAGAAGAAGTCGTGGGCCGACGTCGAGGAAGAGGAGGAGGCCAAGGCCAAGGCGGCCGCGGAAGCGGAAGCGGCTGCGGCGGCGTCCTCTTCCTCCACCACTAAGCCGACGGTGGAGGAGCAGGCCAAGCAGATCGAGGGGCTCTCTCTCGCCCCGGCGGTGGAGGACGCCGCAGGCGAAGAGGGTCCGCCCCTCCTCGATGACTCCGATGACTCGCAAATCCAAGCCGTACGCTCCCGTTCTCCTCCCCACTTCCGCCAGCGCCGACGCTAGCCCTAGCCAGTCTCGCTTGCCTCGGGCTGCTGATTGATTGATGTGATTTCGATTTGGCTTCGCTCCAGGTGACTTCGGGTGGCACGGTGTACGAGTCGGCCACCACGTTCGAGGATCTGAAGCTGTCTCCCGAGCTGCTCAAGGGGCTGCACGACGAGATGGGGTTCAGCCGCCCAAGCAAGATCCAGGCGATCACCCTGCCCATGATCCTCACGCCGCCCTACAAGGACCTCGTCGCGCAGGCGCACAACGGCTCTGGAAAGACCACCTGTTTCGTCCTCGGCATGCTCAGCCGCGTCGACCCGCAACGCAAGATACCCCAGGCTATCTGCATTTGCCCCACTAGGGAGCTCGCGCAGCAGGTCATAACTTAAGACTCACCGTTCTTGTACTATGCTATCGTATCATATGGGTGGAGATGGCGTTATCCCTGGTTATTATTGGATGAAGCTCTGTTGTTAATGGTGCTGAGTTTGCTTCATTCAACTGTGCAGAATAAGGCAGTTCTCATGAGGATGGGCAAGTTTACTGGCATTACATGTGCCTGTGCAATCCCGCCAGCTCAAAAAGACTATATGCCGATCTCTAAAATGGCTCCGATTACTGACCAGATTGTTATTGGCACATCTGGTACGCTCATCAAATGGATTACCCATAAGAAGCTGGCCACAAGGGATATCAAGATACTTGTGTTTGATGAGGCAGATCATATGCTTTCTGAGGTTTGTTTGATTTCAATTCTTGTCTTGTTATCATAACAATGCCTAGGGTTGTCAGTATTTGGAAGGGCACCTTACTGTTAGTCTCTTTTGGCATGGTATTTGAGTTACTATATGCTGTAAGGAGCAATGCGTCAAGAAACTTTGTTAAGCTTCTCTGACTACCCTTGGCAGTCACATTACAACCAACTGATTAAGTGATTAGTAACCAGAGTAGACAAAAGCAATGCACTTGTATACAATGAATCACAACCGACTGATTAAGTGGTTATTAACCAGAGTAGAGGAACGCTATGCATTTTATATACTTTCCGCGATGTTATGCCTTTCCCAAACATCAAACAGATATTGTTGATGCACACTCACAGTAGGGACGGGTTATTTTCATCATGTCTAGATGCAAACCATTAGTTGAATGTTAGTTAGCAACGCAGAGTAACGATTTGTTTTTTAAACCTTTACAACTCCAAGTAATGCATAGCATATACTACATTGCTACCAAACAACTTTTGGTCTAGTAACATGCAGTACATTCTAGTTCCAAGTACACTGAGAAGGAGAAAAAGGATATCTATTTCCTTATTGGTAGAATGCCCGCATGTCGAGTTTTTTCATTGCTAGAATGATTTTAGCCTTTCCAGCTTTTATGTGTTCTCTAAATCGCAAACTAATGTCTATGTCTTCTACTTTATTTCTGGCATGATAATTCTTTTTATAACTGAAGTTCACAAATTGGTTCGTTGCTCATGACATCTTGCCCTTGATTTTTTTTTGGGTCCATGGCCATGCAGCTTATTTTATCATTTAAGCTAGTCTTTGTAAATCCATGAGTTGTTTTCTTACAGTGGTGAATTCCTTGCAGGATGGCTTTAGGAGTGATTCTGAAAGGATCATGAGGGATATACAAAGAAGCGCTGGTGGTTGTCAGGTAATTTTCCTTTGCCTCTTTAACTTTTTTCTTATCACATGAAAAAGCTTGCTAAGAGGATATCCGGAAGATGTTGTGAGAAACAATCTTGATCTAGGGAACAACCTTTTTCCTAATGATGGAAACAAGGCTTATTATTTGAAAAATCTCATCCCTGAATTCAGTCCATTCACTGTAGGTGTGGAATCAACCAATGATGACATTAATTTTTTTTTGAAAAACTGTGCATGCATTCGTCATTTGTTATGTTACTACTTACTGGATGTATCTTTGTTAGATACTTGGGTCTTATGTAATGCCTTATTGGCGGATTCCTATTGCTAAATTATGCATTCACTTCAGTTTTGAACTAGACCTATAATGGATGATAATCGGAGCTTTTCATAACTATTCGTATATCCTGCCTGGCCATACAGCAGCAATGTCTTGTTGACCTGATGTGTTTGTCGAACTATTTTTCATATTTTAATTCTATTTTTGCCAGGTGCTTCTCTTTTCTGCGACCTTCAATGAGAGGGTGAAGGATTTTGTTACAAAGGTCATTAGGGATGGAAATCAGATATTCGTGAAGAAGGAAGAGCTTACTTTGGAAAAAGTAAAGCAATACAAAGTTCAAGTCCCTGATGAATCAGCAAAAATAGAGGTTATAAGGGACAAGATATTTGAATTTGGACAGAAAGTTGGCCAGGTTATCATATTTGTTAGAACAAAGCAAAGTACTAAGAATGTTCACAATGCTTTGACGAGGGACGACTATGTGTGCTCCTCAATTCAAGGATCCCTTGACCAATCAGAGAGGGAAAAGATAATACAGGAATTCAAAGATGGCTACACCAAGGTTCTTATATCAACTGATGTTCTTGCTCGAGGTTTTGACCAAGCACAGGTACTATTTGTGCGGCATTTTGCTTTACACTTCATGAAGTACAAAATTTTCACCTTCTAATTTTGTTGTTTTCGAGCATTTGCTTTACACTTTATGAAGTACAATTTTTTCACCTTCTAATTTTGTTGTTTTTGAAAGGTTAACCTGGTTATCAACTACGACATGCCAATCAAATTTGGTACAAGAGATGAACCTGATTATGAGGTGTACTTGCACAGAATTGGCAGAGCTGGGCGCTTTGGCCGGAAAGGTGAAATTTGGATATATGGTTCCTTCTAGAATTGTATTACATGTTTAGTAGCACCGGTTTTGCATTAAATGAATAAGTCAGTGTCACAGGAAGCAACTAGGTATTGTGATCCACATTGTGGCAAATAATTGTGGTGGTATTATTAGGAATGAAATGAATTGGGGATCATGCTGTCAGGATATTGGATTGAACCTGTGCCCCCCATATTAGGTGACCATGCTGCTTTTATCAAGCATAGTGTCTGTTTGTAGCCTTGAGCTTGAATTTTCACCCGGATGCAAATCCCTTTGAATTCTTTTTTATAAAGTTTAATCAAGAAATTTAGATGTTTTTTATGATAAGATGGAAAAGGCCCTTTAATCTGTTTAATAAGAAAACAAATAACAAGACTTTTCTACTTGACTAGGTTTACTATTTTGTATAGTATATTAATGTTGCTAACTTGGAATTGTTGCTGGTGACAGGTGCTGTGTTCAACTTGTTGTGTGGTCCAACAGATAATGTTGTGATGAAGAAGATCGAGGACTATTTCCAGCACAGTGTACCTGAGGTGTGTAACTGAAACTTGTGCGTGCTTTTATCTTGTGCTCTTATGCGTAAACTTACTGTATACTTACTACTATGTTTGTTAATTTTAGGTTCGGAATTGGCAACATGAAGAAGATTTTGAGGCTGCTCTTAAGGATGCAGGTTTACTTTAAGTAACCACCGAAACTTGTGGTGAGCAGCGCTCTCCGGCTCAGGACAATTCACCAGTGATTTTTTGCTGAGCCTGCTGCACAACGTTATTGTGCTCTTCTGCTCATCCTCTTAGCAACACCGATTTTCACCGGTGATTTTTTGCTGAGCCTGCTGCCCAACGTTACTGTGCTCTTCTGCTCATCATGTTATCAGCACTGAGTGTTTTGCAGCAGAGTTTTGTGGATTATGTTAAAAGACTAGGACAATTATGGTGTTATGAGCTTATATGAAACAGAGGGTTGTTAAAAGGTGTTTCTTTGCCAATCTGCTTGTAGCGCAGTTATGAGCATTACCATTTGAAACTGTAAATCTTGTTATTAAAGAGTTAACTGTCGAGATGCGTGCGTTACGATCTTTTTTACAGTGATTGTTTAAAGAAAATGTATCATCAATGTACACTTAAGATGAGTCTTCGATCAAATTTTGCTTTCGTTTCCTGTGCTCCATCCCGCGTCATGTGACAAGCGGTGGAGCCGGCTTAATGGCAGAAATGGCTCACACGGACACGCCGTCGGACACTGCTGGGCGGAGGCGGAGTACCGTAGGCCGCCGCTCGTGCTAACGAGCTATGCCGTGGCATAGCCATGTGACCGTCGCTCGCTCTGCCAGACAGGGTGAGGCATGGCTTAATGGCAGAAATGGCTCACGGACACGCCATCGGACACTGCTGGGCGGAGGCGGAGCCCGTAGGCCGCCGCTCGTGCTAACGAGCTATGCCAGGCATAGGCATGTGACCGTCGCTCGCTCTGCCAGACAGGGTGAGGCATGGGAATGAGGAGGAGATTCAGTACAAGCTGCTTCCCACGGAAAGAATTATCTGTATTAATCTATCTCACTGGAGACCGGGGCCCATCAACATGTATACGATAATGTACACATGGAGCTGCCATTCGATTCTGTAATTCCGTTCACCCAAAAGAAGAAAAAAAAAGTTACAAGTTGTCATGCTCGATGACCTGTGCCGCCTTCCACTCCTCGCCGGGGTTGACGACGACGGGCACCAACATGGACGCCATCCCCGTGCACAGGAAGTAGTCCTTGCCGAACTTCTCGTACATGCCTCCCGGGCTGCACAGGTACATGTCGTCGAACCCCATCCTCACCAGCCTGAACCCGAGCCCGCTATACTGCAGATTCACGGCAGCAAACGTTGTGATTCAGTATCGCGAGAGAGGATGGATAATCTGCATGTTGAATTGTTGTTGATGATGATGAGGACCAGAGAAAGAACGTGCGCTCGATCGAACCTGATCGATGGTGGTGAACTTGGACGGCGCGGTGCTGTAGACGCGCTTCTTCCTCTCCTCCGGCGGCGCCGCGTACACCCGGCTCACCTTCTTCTTGAGCACGGTGTAGAGGTCCTCCTCGACGGTCCAGATGCCCTGGCGCGGCTCCTCGCCGCCGCCGCTGAACCAGCCGGGGTCCTCCCGCATCATGGCCTCCGCCGGGGACAGGAGGCTGAAGGCGGCGGCCGGCGGCGGCTGGGAGCAGTAGGGGCAGCCACGGAGGCCCTCCACGGCCGTGCCGCCTCGCTTGTCGAACTTGATGTGGCTCAGCACCGCGCCCGTCAGCTCCACCGGCTTGGTGCCCGTGTTCCGGACGATCACCGCCGTCGCCATGCTCACCCCATACAGCGTCACCACGTACGAGATGTCCAGCTTCCCCTTGGTGCACCCGAGCTCAACCTGCAGTTTCTTTCACGGTACTGCTTCGCGTAACTTTTTTTTCATCAGAGGAAAAGTACCAAAAGAAGAGAAAAATGCACCTGCACGGCGTCGTAGGAGTCGGAGTCGGCGTCCCTGACAGTCCATTCGGCGCCGTCGACCAGAGACCACTGGGCGGCGATGCCCGCGCCGGCGGACGAGGAGGACGACGCCTCGTTGAGGACGAGGCCGACGCCGCCCTTGCCCGCCACGGTGTACAGCACCTCCCGGCACCCGTCGTCCTTCCAGTACACCTTGGGTTTGTAGGACGTGACGAGGCCGTCGCCGAGGCGGAGGTGCAGCGAGCTGCCGTTCCGCACGCTGAGCTCCGCGGTGGGGGCCCCGCCGGCCGGGTCGCCCACGAAACGCAGACCCTTCCGCCCGAACGACTCCTCCAGTGACTGCGCGGTCGTCGCCGTCGCCGCCGCCGGGGCCGCGGAGGCGCGCAAGGCGGTGCTGGCCCGGCGCGCGCAGGACGGGAGGTGCAGCGGGAGCACGGAGGAGGTGGCCATTGGAGCGGGAGTGGGAGTGAGGAGAGTGTGATGAGGGGGATGGCAGAGGAGGATCAGAGCCCTCTCCAGACGCGGGGCGGCGTTCACCGCAGCCTCATATCCTGGAGCCTCCGGATAGATGACACTTTCAACTTTCTCCCTGTCGCCTCCTTCCTTCGTTCTCGCGCTTTTCCGTGCTCTTTCCCCCCCTCTTCGCTAGAGAGATGTTATTATTGTATTATACGCCAACGTAAAAAGAAATTGTTATATTTCGCGTGCATCAATTTTAGACGAATCTTATACAATAATTCAAAAGATAACTCTTTAAGAGACATTTTTAGAGAGATAGTTCAGTGTATGGAGGCGCGGAAAAGGTCCTAGGGAGTAGGGACCCATACTCGCGAGACAGTCGTCTCCGGCCTTTGCCTAGGACCCCATTTATTCTTCTCCGGCGAACTAGTTCGCCCATGGTAAGGAATAGGAGACCCTTCTCTCATTTACAGCAGTTTTTTTTATCTAGTTTACTTTGGTTTAGTTCAAACAATTCTACTAATGAAATCATATAATTTTTGGTTGGATGTGTTGTTATCTATGGTGACTTTGGCGATGACCACGTTGAGGTCGTCATTGCAAGCATCAATTTCATCGCAGGAGTTAATTTGTGGACATTATCTATAAGGAAAGAGGTGCTCCGAATCATCGGCCTCATCGTCGATAGTGACAAAGCAAAAATCAGACGTCCAACTATGACGAATAAGGTTAGAGGTGTTGAATCTGATACCTATGTTGTTCCTAATGATTTAACTATCAATGTTATTTCATCGCTGTTGATGTGTTTTGAACGGGTTCCGAAACATTGGATCTTGCAACATATCGAATGTTCTAGGGTTGACCATATGACTTTGGCATAAGGACTGTACTTTGGTTTCGGTGTTCAACAAAACTTTGCTAATTTGAAGCATGTCTACATCGAGGAAATTTGGTGGGAAAGAAGACGATAGGAGAATTTAGATACATTGTATCGGTTTTATTTTATATTTTTTCATGTGTAATTTGAAATGTACCGTGTGAAGTTTTAATATATTCCCCCTTCACTTAAAAAACTCTCAAGAGATATTTCATAATTTTTTATAGTTTTTTTTACAACATAATTTTTTATAGTTAAACAATGACAAAATTATCTATCATCTAAACAACGATTAAAAAAATCAGATACCTCATATAAGAAAAGTGAGAGGAAAAAAAAAGATGTGGCCGTGTGTCACAGCTCACAAGTGTACAGCTTAAGAATGTGGAAGCACAGCAGATATTTGCAAAGTGTGCTTCTTTCGGGATAGGCTATTTATATGATATTATCAGGTAATTATATAAAAAGTCAGGATGGCCGAGTGGTCTAAGGCGCCAGACTCAAGTTCTGGTCCTCTAACGAGGGCGTGGGTTCAAATCCCACTTCTGACATAAATTTTAATTTTTTAGTTTTTTCCTTTTTGCATCTGAGACAAAAGTGTCACAACATAAAAACTTCTTTTTCTCCTTTTTTCTGTAGAGTTTTACAATGCTTTCACATTGCAAATTTTTGCATAGACAAAAGTGTCACAACATAAAAAAAAATGCTTATCTTTTTTTTCTCCCTGGAGTTCTATAGTGCTTTAATATTGCAAAACTTTGTAGAGACAAATTGCATTTGAGACTAAAGTGTGACAACATAAAAACTACTAGGTTGCAATCCTTCCCTGCTCGCTGTGCGCAACCCTACATACAAATTGGCGTTCTCGACAGTCAAGTGTTCCTCTGGACAAGCCGGAGCGTTTGAGAAGGGGGCCACTTTTTGCGATTCAGCTCCTGATTTCCTATTGTTTACCAAAGTGTTCGGTAAGGCTTCTCTCGCTCCTCCACAGAAGTTGTTGCCGGAGCCAAAGCCGTCCTAAACAGACCCTACTTCTCTTTACGGCTCCAAGAGGATAGCGCGGTGCGTTGATGGCGTGAAATTGAACACCCGTAGTACTGTAGTAGGCCAGAGCTTCCCCAACCGGGTTCACCAGCCACAGGCCCATCCGTTTCAGTTTCCACCGTCGATGAAAAATCTCCCTCTCCTCCCTTTGCCCGGGGACAGCACAGGACATAGCACTTGATCATCAGTAACCTGCACCTGCTACTTGTAGCGCAAATGTGTTTCCTACATGGCACCTCTAACCGAGCTAAAATTTGACACGCCCAAATTTCTGTCACCAAATTGATGGTCATGAATTTGGGCAACTTTACAGAGGTGATGAATTTGGACAACTTTAGAAAGGTGGCTAATGCAGAGTGCGAAGCCAAATTACGCAAAGCAGACTACGGCAAAAAGCGGGCCTTTTTGCTTCGTCATCTTTGCAACAACTCCCGTCCCCACTAGCCCAATGCGGTGGTAATCTAGTGGAGCACCGAACCGAATCCAGCAGCCGAGCGCCATCACCAGACGATGGACGACGGATAGAGAAGGGACAGTCCGCAATAATCAAACCTGAAATAGGAAGAAAAAAGAATAGAAAAGCTCCAATCTAACCCACTTTCATTCAGATCCACTCAATATAACGACGAACAGAACAGGGTATACTCGACCCCGATGACGCAACACACACCAAGCCGGCCTTCGCAAATCCTTTTGTCCAGCCACAGGTTTCTGGCATTCTGATACTACGGTAGAAAAGAGTCTTCGGGCTATAAAAAAACTGAAACGGGGAACACAGCGATAAAAAGAAAGTAGGGTAAACGCTAACTAGCCAACTGCTCTCCAGTAGCGATGAGATGGAGCAGCAACGCTCTTGGGGCCATGCTGCCAGTTCCACAGCCTGCCTTGGTTGGTCACCAGTTCCCTTGCACCGCGCGCCTCAGTCGAGTCTTCAGGACATCCAACCTCGCTTGCGGCTAGCTATGGAGCATTGGTTGGGCGGTCAAGCTAACCGGTCTTGGCGACTCCGTTGGCGAGGACGGGTTTCTCTGTTGCTGTTTGGGCCACCTTTGCCGCATAGGAAACAGCAGGAGTGGTGGTGACTCCATTGGCGACTAAGTTGCTGAGGACAGGTTTCTCTGCAGGAGCCTTCACCGCCTTCACCTCTACAGTGACACCGTCTGGTACATCAGACGGATTGGGCTTCCCGTTAGCAGCTTCCTGCTGTTGCTCACCGGTGACAGAAATGGGGGTCCTACTGTCCCAGACCTGCATGATTCAAGACAGTCAACCCGCAGGTATTAGACGGGCAAGGTGATGAAATCTGCAGTTGATGAATTAAGCCATGTATTTGGAATTTCAAACCTACCTGCTTTTGGACCTGCTGCTGTTTCGACCTCTTGTCCTGCATCAACTTCTGGCGGCTCTCATAGAAGGCAAAGTCATCCAGGATGGACGTCTTGCTGACATGATCCTTGAAGATCTTGAGCATCTGAAGGCCTTGTTCAAGGTGTATCTACATTATCATCAAAAGGGTAAGTAAGGAGGCAAGACGGCAAATTTTGCAATTCAGGAAACTTGAAAAAAAAACATGGACTATGCTTACCTCCTGAGTGTCACGGCTATTCGTGACAGGCTTGTTCTCATTGTTCTCTAGGATGATGTGCTTGAGAATATTGTTAGGCACGTCCTTGACAATGTGCCACTTAACAGAGAAGGAACCATTCCACTTGTCCTGTTGCCAATACTCCAGTCTCTTCTCAAAATCAACAGCACCAGTCATTTCAGCAACACCAACAAACTGACCACTTGTATTCACCTGAAATTTCATTGTGAATGGCATATCAGACAAAGAAAACTATCTTGACATTCATAATGAAATACCAAATGAGGAAAAGATCCTTACTGAGAAAAACAAGAATATAGGGCATGGAGAGCCCTTTGACTGAGCTTCTTGATAAGCAGCATCAAGCTTCTTGTTTCCATTGGTTGTGCTTGCCCACACATTGTATTTTACACTCTTGTGGATGTCATCCTCGCTATACGATTTAATGACAAAGAACTTTGCAGCATCGTACTGAACAGGGAAGTCATCTCTATTGAACTGTGCTCTATCAGGCACGGCACTATCATTCTTGCTTTCACCAGAAGGAAGACTCTGCCCTTTCACAGCAATAGTGACAGTATGACCGTACAATTTCTGGTTCTTGAAACGGCCAGATCTAGGACCTCTGTTTAACTCGATTGTTCCATCCTGACTCTCATTGCCATAACCATAGTATCCATTACGGACCCTAGGCCTGTACCTGTTATCCATACCAAGACCCCATCGACCATATATCCTGGAATCGTAACCGTTACTCCCATAGGGAAGGCCAGTTTTTATTGAATTCCCATACTGGGTATACGGTCGGGAGCTAGGGTACATCCTATTGGGATAAGTAGGAGCTGCTGATGTAGTTGTAGGTCTTCTGTTCTGCATACCCTGCTTGAAGACAATACAGAGAAAAAAAACATGAGTGAGCCTGGCAACAGATGTAATACACAGTCAAAGTATATCATCATAGTCAACTCAAATTAGAAGGCAAAACCTAAAAGTTTGTAAGCTGCTCAATCAGAAAGCACATATTTCTTGTATTGACAGGCCCAGTCTGCCCTTGAAGTGTTAAAACACAAATTGAATTCTACACAACATTATTATGCTTCCTATCGGGTTAAACTAAGAGCCATGAAGCAATAACATTTATCCTATAGTGACTATTTATCCTATAGTGACTATGAAACAGTGGAGTCATTAGCCTCGAAGGGAACATGCATAAACAGAAGAAAAATACATAAAAAACACAGCTGCATTTAATAAAAATATTATCAAGATAATTTCTCTGAACTTACCATCTGCTGCGTGGTTGAGCTCTTGTTCTGATTTCTTGCTGAGGAACCATTACCACTGAATGTTGAGGATGGATAATGATTAGTTGTAGTTGTTCTTTGCTGTCCATTTGCATAAGCAGAGCCATCATACCATGCAAAGTGTGCCCCTGTGCTGTCATACCCATATGTCGTGTCCAGGTAACCAGCAGAAGGAACTCCACCTAGCAAGGGTGCCCTATAAGTTCCGTCAGGCGTCAGTGATGAATTTTGTTGGCTTGACGCAAGGGGTACAGTTACACTGTTACTGTGAGCTGTACCATTTGGAACACCGTTAGCGGTTGTCTTGGCAGGGTCAGCTTTAGCTGCTGGATTTTCAGGATTGTTAGAAGACTGTAGGTCACTTTGAGTGGTAGAAGGAACTGGTGTAGGAGGCTGAAAATACGCAGTTGGATACTGGTAATGCTGCGCACCAAACATTTGACCATCAACCGTTGGAACTGGGGAAGTAGCAGGAGAGTATGCCCCATAAGGAGCATACCCATATCCATAAATATCTCCATATACTGCCTGCAAAAGTCCAAAAGACCCATTGAAATGGTTAATCATGATGTTTCCAAGAGTAGCATAAATATGAGAGACGCATCAGGTCCTGTTTGGATAGATGAAAAAACCCGTCCAATCCATAACACGTTGGGAGGGATCGAGGGGGAAATTAGCTCATTTTCTGCTCCAGTCCAAATGGAATGGTAGCGATTAGGTCCAAACAACCTCACAAGACACAAGATGCAGAATTTCAATGACAAGATGATAGTGGCAGACAAGAAAAACAACCTTTGCAACATGAGGTAACAGTGCAGAGAGCATAAGGAAAAGAGGGAACCAACCAAAGCAGAAACCATACCCCAAAAATAGGGTGAACAGCTTTCCACTTATTACATGTCCAACAATAGACTCGACAGTACAGGTATCAGTAGACAGTAGTAGCAAGCAATTTGACAATTCCAGCATTTCTACAATAAGGATAAGACATAGGATGCAAACAATCATGGGAAGCATCACATGACACATGAAGGGATAAGATCTTATAGGACAACTTACTGGGGCAATCTCCACTCCATCTGAATTTAGATATCTCGGATAATCATCCCACTCGCTCATGGAACTTTCGTAGCCTGCAAGACAAGGCAAGAACCAGACAATTCAGTTAGAAAATCACAGAACTCTCAGAGCAACAAATAATTCAAATTATGTTCTCATCAGACGCCACAAGGAAGACGAAAGCAGCAAACAGAGGGCTAAAATACTCGCACTAGCTACGACAAGATCACCATAAGCTCCTCACCTCCATAGTAATACGCTGGCAGATAGAACAGGTTGGGATCCATAAAGTCTTGAAGCACCGGCGTGATGGACCGCTCCGGCGGGATCCCCACGCTCAGCGGCTGGCTCGTCACAGCACCCTGCTGATTTAATAAACAGCACAAATAAGCGAACGAATCAGAATCGCAGATTATCGACACGGACAAGATGAGAACCCATGAGAGGAGCTTCTGCTTTTATCTCTACCTTCTTGGCAGCAGCAGGCTCTGTTGCATCCGTCGCCGCCGCCTTTGGCTGCGAATCCAGCGACAACTTCTGCAGCAGCTCCGTGGTATCTTCGCACAACAGCAGACCAAAGAATTAAGGTGTAACAAGATTATTTCTAGATCCCAGAGGTTGCAAGCTACTAAATCCTGACGAGCAGTAGCAATAGAACAATAACAAAAGCATGGAAAAATATGCTTTTTTATCCCCGGTAGCTTGCAAGCAACAGTGAAAACACGGTAGAAACATATGGATCTGTACAATTCAAGCAAACAAGGCAGCAAGGACAGACAAGAGCACTCGACACGGTACCGACCGGCGCAGCCACCATGGGAAGACAAAACCTTTAACCCCCAACGAAGCAGCCAAGGCCAAACCTTTGACCCCAACGACGCAAACGAAACCCTCGTAAAGCCAAAACCTTTGATGCCCAGCAGCACAGAAATAAAGGATACGACCCGCAACAGGGACGGTGGCAGCAGCCGGAGCCGGAGCAGGAGGAGCAGCAGCCGGTGCCGGTGCCGGCGCGGCGGGCGCGGGAGCCGGGGGCGGCGCGACGGCGGCCATGGCGCGAGACGAGAGAGATCCCAACGAACGAAGGAGGCAGCGGCGAGATCCGAGAGCCCCCGACCGACCGACCGGCCCTTCTCCCCTCTTCCTCTCCTACGGATACGTAGGCAGGTAGCACGAGCTAAGCTCGGGATAAGGAGGGAGCGATAGGAGGCGGCGGCGGCGGTGGGTGAAGGGTGGGGGGAGGGAGGCGAGCCGCCACCAGAGGAGCAGCGCGGCGGCTAGCGGTAGCGGGGATAGTAGTACACTACTGGTACAGTGCTGTGAAGGGGAAAAGGGGAGGTTTTGGGTGGGGTGCGGGGGTCATATAGCAGGCAGCAGGTGCCGGCGGCTACCGCCTGGCTGCACTGTGCACCCGGATAGGAGGGGGAGTTCGGCAGCCGCACGGCTCTCTCGCGGTCTCGCCCGCCTGCCTGCTCGGTGCTCGCTCGGCGTCCGCTTTGGATTCCCCTCCCCGCGCCGCTCCATTTTTTTTCTCTAAATAAAAATAAACTAATTTCGTCATGCTCCCTGCACTGCTCTACTCCTCTGCTGGTGGATTAGTTTATAGTGGGTAATCGTGATCGCGGGTGCTAGGTTTCAAAGCTTCAGATCGGATCCTTTCCTTAGCCCGGTGGGTTTGGAGCCAGGCAGCCAGCCGACTACTATGTCAGGGAAGTGACTCGTCACGCTCCGGCTGTCTCAATCTTGTGCCTAACCTGGCGTTTAGCACAGGCCTGGTTTCATTTTGTCTACCGGAGTATATTCTTTTCTCTTTTTTTTTTTGGTTACAAACCGTGTATAGTAAGGGTTACGTGTCCATGCCTATTTCTGGTGACAATCTGTCGCTAGTGGTGTACAGTGCACAGTGTGGTGGCGAAGGATGATTATAAATAACTCATGAATTGAATCATATATGAGCTCATCCATGTTGGCTGGCAACAGTAAATCATGTGATGTAGCGGCCAGTTGCCGCGCGCGAGGCTGCCTAAGAATTGCGTGAGTCGTCGCCAGACCAGGCAGACCGTCGCTAGCGTTTCTGGAGTCCAGACTCCAGAGATAGATGGCAAACGCTCCAGCAGTTTCGCAGCGAACGGAATCGAAAAGGAGGGGAAGAAAAACCCAAAGCAACAGAGCAGGCGAGCAGCGCACCGGACTGGACGGCTGCGGCGCGTCCGCAGGGCGGCCAGCGTGCCGCGCGCAGGCCGCCACGCACCGAGCCCAGCCGCCCAACAAGTGCCTTGGCCGTGAGCCGCCGACGCCCACGGCCTCTCCTTTCTCTGGGCGGCAGCTGCCCTGCCGGCTTCTTTTTTTGTTTTGGGGACGTTCTTTTTTTTCCCCACTAGTTTTCTCCGTGCGTTTCCTCGCAGGCACATGGAGAAACCAAGTGAGGATAGACAAGGTCTCGCACGTGCAGCGCTTGCCCTGCTTGCCCTCTGCCTGCCTATCCCTACCGGGCGCAGGCGGGACGAACGGGATCGCATCGTACGTGACGCAACCCCACAGCCCAGAGGAAAATCTGTTCTCTTTTTTTCTTGAACGGTAAGGAAATTTTGTTTAGATCGACAGAGCAGAACGGCAAAAAAAAAAGAAAGAAAGAAATGGCGTCCCTGGTGAACGAAATCTGAATTGGTTGGATCTGGCCCGGCCGATCGCGCGATTCCGCGGGCGATTTCCCTTTCGCCTGCGTGAGATTCCGGCGCCGGGCGTGGACACGTCGCTGCGGCTCCGCGGCCGGGTCCACCGTCCGCGTCCCCGGCAGAAAATCGGATCGCGGAACGGAGGGATACACGTGGGTTTTCCTGTGAGGACCGCGATGGTTTCCATGCAATTCCAAGCAGACAAACGATCTCGTCTTGCATTGCAGGTGAGCCAATCGCGATGCCTACGTACGTACGCAGCTAGGGAGCGAGACGCGCTACGAGTTTGTATTCTCCAGCTCCTGGGGTAGCCCAATGTTAATTTTGTGAATATTGAAAAAGTTGCTGCACAAATATCTCAATATCTCTCCAACCAATAATCATACAAAAGATAGGGTCCACACGTGTGTAGAAAAAAAATGGGCGAAAAACGATGGTTGAGATGGTCCTTTGCTGTTAGGGTTGATAAACTCTCTTTTATTTGAGAGGGGGTGAGGTAAATATCTATGACGAACCGATGACAAAATAAGTGAGAGACATTAGCAGGACTCTCGGAATAAGAAAAAGGTACAATAACCCTTAGGGCATTGTTGGCATAGTTCCTCCTCAAATGCTCCTTCAAAGGAGCCGGAGCCCCCGAGGAGAAACCACAAACTACAGTTTATTCTCGAGATCTCAAAACGGCTTTGGCTCGTATACTATTCACCAGAAAACAACTCATCCACCTAAAGTGTTTTTGGTACCGCTCCTTCGTCTCCTCCGCAGAAGTTAAAAGTGTTCGCCTGAACTACAATTCATCGGGCTGCAGTTGTATGCACGATGCCATGCGAGAGAGATTATACCCCCAACCACTGCGGCTGCAACGTTGTGCGAGTGTAGCCGAACACTCCTGCTGCTGATGGAGCCAGAGTTATACCAAACAAGCTCTTAGAGCAACTGCAATTCCTAATCTGGAGGAATTATAGATTTTGGTGAAAAAATATCTTAAGGGTTTCTTGAGTTAGATCTCCAAATGTAGACATCCTCTATTCTAATTTTTTCGCTAACCAAAAATGAAGAGAGAGGATGACTCTCTAGAGGACATACAAGATATAGAAAAATTGTTCGAGAATATAAAGATATATAAAAAGATTTTTACTCAAATGATTCTCTAAAACATTTAGAGGGTCAATTTAAAAAAGACTCTTGGAGATCTCTTAATATGATAGTTTTTTAGAGAGAGAGAGAGGGGGTATTAAGGCCTAGGATTTCAACATATTATGATAGCTAACTTCTAGGAGATAGCTAGGAATCCAACGAATTCAACTTTTAGCTGGCTCCTACAATCCAGGAGGTTTGAGATTTCACAGTCGAGCAAGCTGAGGAACTCAAGCTTTTTTCAGCTTCTAGATTCAACTTGACAATTCTGCCCCTCAAATTGACACAGCTGCAAAAGAAATCAAAGAACAAGGACAACACAGTTATTTTACATTGGAAAAGCAACCAATTATAGCTTTTGCAATATGTGGATCGAAACAACCTACTAACAAAGCTTTTATAATCCAACTTCTAGCAATCTAGCTTTAAAAGTTCAGCTTCTACAATCTCACATCCATACAAGGTCTAAGAGGACCCTTGGAGATGCTATGGGTGTGTTTGGTTGCATTTCTCTAGCAAGCCTGGCTAGAAAAATAACCCAGGCTTCAGCTAGCTTGTCCAAAGTCAATACAACTGAAAGCATCTAGGCCCCTAGTTGGATTTCGGTGATTAATGATAATACGTGATTACTATGACTAACGTGTGTTTTACAGAGACAATTAAGTTATATCATGGTAATGGCAATTGATTGGGCAATCATGGTTGTTATGCCCCTACGCTGGAAATCGTTTCGGTTTTCAAAGAATGGACGACAAGGTTAAGAATGGACTAGTTCTAAATATCGTTTGGTGTTGAAAAGACACTTAGAGTAGTTTAGGACTTTGTTTTTCTTTGGCAGTACTATTAAGGGGTATATGAACTAGTAGTTTAACCTAGATGAGTCTAGTGGGTTAGGTGTGGTGCACACTTGTCAAATTTAGCACTAGATAGCTCCGAAGTAGCCCTTAGATCAATTGGAAAAAACTTCATTCACATATGATTTCGAGTTGAAAGTGAATGCAGGGTCAAATGTTGATCGGACGCTGGTCCCAGTGTGACCGGACGCTGGCAGTAGAGTCCGGTCAGTTCATTTGATCAAGGTGAAGTCGTCTGGTTGTGACCGGACGCTGAGAGAAATATGACCGGACGCTGGGTGCCAGAGTCCGGTCAACTCCAGTAAGGTTCCAGAAACAGAGAATCCTGATCGGACGCGTCCGGTCAGTGCTGACCGGACGCTGGGTGTCAGAGTCCGGTCAACATCAGTAAGGGTCCAGAAAGCAGTTTTTGTGACCGGATGCTTTCGGTCAGTGTTGACCGGACGCTGGTTAGAGTCCGGTCACAACTTAACGGCTCTGTGGCGGGGAGAACTGACCGGAGCGTCCGATCACCCCGCAAAGTGCTGACTCAAGCACATAACGGTTTGTTTTGAATGAGGGGGTATAAATACTTCTTCTATTCATTCAATGGAGTACTCTTGTCCATTTCAATAGCTAAGAAACACCCTTGAGAGTGCCAAGGAGAGTAAGAGCATAGTGAGGTGATTGAGATTTGAGAATCCAAGATTAAGTCCTCATTAGTAAAAAGATAGTAGCAAGTGTGCATCCACCCTTCTCATTAGGCTTGTTGTGATCAAGTGAGAGTTCTTCCTTATTACTCTTGGTGATCGCCATCACCTAGATGGCTTGGTAGTGATTGGGAGTTTGGTGATCATCCGGCGGAGCTTGTGTATGACCCAACTCAAGTTGTGAGAGGTTATGGGTGATTCACCGTGATGGAGTGTCGAAGAATCAACCCGTAGAGAGCACTTGATCCTTGCGTGGATTAAGGGGAGCTACACCCTTGCGTGGGTGCTCGAACGAGGACTAGTGGGAAGTGGCGACTCTCCGATACCTCAGTAAAATATCATCGTGTTCCTTCTCCTCTCTTTACTTTGAGCATTTACTTTTGAGCAATTCAATTCTTATCTTTACATTCTTAGAATTGTTATGCTAGAGTAGGATTGGAACTTATGGTGTTAAACTTTTGTGCGGTAGATCATTAGAATCACTTTCTAGGCATAAGGGGTGAAGTGGGCTAAGTGTAGGGTTTAATTATTGCAAAGAATTTTAGAATTAACCCAATTCACCCCCCTCTTGGGCATCTTCATCCTTTCAATTGGTACCAAGCCTCGTGCTCACGTATTTAGGCTTAACCGCCTAGAGAAAGATGTCTCACGGGGATAGACCTCCTCCTATCTTTGAGGGAGATGATTTTCCTTATTGA